GCCAGGGCCAGCAGGACCTGTCTTCGGGGGCTTCACTCTGACTGCTTCCCTTCAGGCACAGCCTTGGCCCTGGGTCTTGCAGCAAACCTGCCAGTAGAGCACCACATGCTCAGGCACGGCAGGGAAGCATGTGATAGGCTCGCATTCCGACAGCTCCGCAGGGGATCTGTTCTGTGATTTCCCCGCTGTTCCCATAATGGTGCACTCGCTTGTGGATGAACCTGCCGGTCAGGTACTCAGGGCCCAGGAGGTGGCTCCCACGTCAGCCAAAAAGGCCAGCCCTTTGCCCTTCCCCTGCAAGGGTCCATGAGGCTCCTCGGGGAGGCTTGTGGGCCGCAGAGGAACCCCTGGCTCCCCCAGCCCCATCGGCTGCCTGTGCCGTCTGCCTGGGCAGGTCCTGGTCTGGGGACACCTGAGGCCTTTGTCGATTGCATCGGGGGCTCCTGCCTTCCAGGGACCCTCCTTCTTGACGAGGTACACTGGTTAGTGCCTAGGCTCTAGGGCCCCCTCGCTCCCCCTGGCTGGGAGTTTGGGTGACGTACTGGAGCTATAGGTCCCTCCCCTGCTGGGCCTCGTTGTCCGTGGGGTCTGCATGGACCCTGGAGGACAAGAGGCGAAATGCTGCTGACCTCTCGGCCCTTCTGTCCTTGGCATCGGCCTCCACATCTCAGCTGTCAGATACCCAGAAGGCTAGTCCCACCGACATGGAGGGGGGAAGCGCTGGCCCTTTCTGTAGCGTCTGTAACTTTCTCCTCAGCTAGGGTTCTCTGAGATATGAGGCGGCATTTTAAGGCAGTCCTTCTTCAGCTGGACTGAGACTGGGTTCTGGTAAAGAGGCAAAGATGTTCCCTTCACCTTTCCCTGAAAGCTGACAGGCTCTCCTTCAATTCCTGAGTAAAAATTTCCTGGATTTTGCTCCAGTTGATGGGCCTTTTTCCAGCTGCCTGTATTTCTTGTAGAATCATAATTAGCTTCTTATGATTTTAAGTGCAGTTTTTCTTAATGATTAAAGCAGGTGTACAATGCATGTTCAACAGGCCAGAAAAATGGGTTATTATACTTAGTTAAATCAGGTGTAAGCTCGAGCGGCTTCCCCACACCTCAGCATGAGCTCTGACATCCGGTAACGGGGACCGTCCTATAGGCCGTACACCTTATCAGTAACACTGAATTATCACACACACGGCACATGTGCTTTCAGCAGCAGGCAGGGATGCGTGTCACGAGGAGTTGTGCTCTGTGACTTCATTAGAAAATCCTCTTCCGTCCTGACCCCTGAGGTCAAAGATAGCCACCTTGAAAGGAGAGGTTTCTTGTATCTGGAAAACACATATCAAAAACCAGTAATAGTTTAGGTAAAACCATAAAGTCATAGCCATGTTTATCAGTTCATTCGGTCCTGTGTAATTAATCTTTGGACTTCATCTCCTGTCAACAGTTTTTATGAAGGCAGGCTACCAGAAACCTGTGCTTGTTTAAAAAACCTTCCCTATGAATCTTCTTGAAGATGAGGTATTTTTGCAAAAGCATCACAGTGAGACAATAACTGCTCAGGATGACAAATGACTTGAAAGGCACAGTCACAGATCTGAGGGTGGTGTGGTCCATGGAGCCGACTTGCTGGGCTGGACAACATTTTAAGACAATAACTAAAATGATGACTGATGACATTACACCAGGACATATTCAAATCATAGGAACTTCATGTAATTTCTAGAACACTTACTTGAATAACCTACTTTTCTACAGATATAATATAAGAAGGTTCACATCCATTATTCAACAATGCCTTTGCAGGTAATTTAACATATCAAATACATAAGCCTAATTAGTTAAATCTCTCTCCTTTATGAGAAGAAAATCCTCTGACATGTTCCTCTGAAAAATCTCAGAGTTAACTAGAGGTAAAAAGGACTTTATTTTGGGAAAAAAAAAAGGTGTGAACCCTTCACAATCTCTTGATATCTCTTAATATGAAGAACAGACCAATAGTTGAGGAACATTTTATCTTTCGAGCAGACAAGAAAGAACTAGGTTCCAGTTTTACACATGATCATCGTTGATATTAAAGTTTACTTTTGGCACCCTTATAACCAATTCATTAATTTTAGCACATATTAAAATTCCTTTTCCACAAACCTTCTATAACTTTCTTTTCACATTCAGATTTTGTCCCTAAGTTTTCCTTCTTTAAATCACTAGCCTCTTACCTTGGGGACAAAATCACTTTCTTTTTCTTCAATAAAAATGCATTTCCACTCCTCACACCTTCGGTTAGTGAAAATACACATCTTACGTTTCATGCAAGCAGAGATGTTTCCCTTACTATTTCTAGTGGCTTTAATTGCACTTAAAATTCAGCGATTCTCCCAAGCCACTTTTTTTTTTTTAACTAAAACCTCTTCCCAGCTTCCTCTGGGGTTTGTCCAGTGGTCTGCAGGGATACGGACTCCATGTGAACGTCCCCTGAGGGGGCTGGTGTTCTTGGGACCTGGACCACCCTGATACAGGGGTGTTGGGAAGGTGCTGCTCAGGGGACTCATCACAGGGGGTCGCAGAGTGCTGCGCCCGTGGGGGTTCCACCAGGAGGTGGGGGAGTCCAGAACATGGGTGAAAACTTGGGGGGATCTTGCCCGAGGACTCGGATGCCTGTGGAAGGGACATGGTGAGTGGGTATCCGGGGGACAGAGAGCCCACAGGGCTGCCCCCATCTCTGAGGCCGTACGAACAGTTTGGTCCCATACCCCTCCCAGTGCCCAACAGACCGGACCAGGATGCTCTCTGCCAGCTGACAAAACTGTGGCGGGCTCAGGCCCGGGGCAGCGCACAGCCTCTGGGCCACCCCCTCTCAGAGGGCAGCCAAGGCACCTTTCCCGCGGGCCTTCGGCAAGGAGGAGTGGAGGAGGCTATGGCCAAGAAGGGCAAACCGCAAGCTCCGCTGCTGCGAGAAAAGTGGCTCTGAGGAGGCTTTTGCAGGCACAGGAGGAGACAGACACTGGGAAGGACTTGTACTAGCAGGTTGTTCCCTGGCCCAGCAGTTCCCTGTCCCGTGTCTAGACTGTCAGACCTTCGGTTCCTCTCTAACCGTTTTGAAGACTCCCACTGCAATCTTCCTCGGGACAGAACCGCTGCCTAGGGCTGGGCTCCCTGAGGACAACTCCAGTTTCTGGTGAGCATTGCCACTGTACTTCACCCAGGGGGTCCTTTCCAGTACAGCCTTTACCTGCTTGCAGAGAGCCCCCTAGCACGGACACGTCACCCGCCGGGGTGAGCCCCGGCACTGAGACTCAGAACAAAAGCATCCTTCACTGCCCAGTGCTGCCGGGTGCCTGTCGCGGGGTCTCCAGGGACCTACAGGGCTTCCTGAACAGGAAGGTAGGCTTTTTAGTCCCATCTGCGTCACCAGGTTTGTCACTGAGAAAGGCAGTCCCCAGAAGATGGGACCTTTCCCTGTTCAGTGACTCAGAGCCCTTACAGGGAACGGAAGTGAGCGCCATGCAGTGTGGGCCACCTGGAGGGGCCAGGAAGGCGTGGACACAGGCGAGCTTAGTGCAGGGGTTTGGCACCAAAAGCGAGGGGAGGACTGCGCCTGTGTCTATTGGGATGGGCGAAGAACCCCTCGAAACCAAACACCGCCTTTCTTCTGTCCTCTAGTTTCTTTGGGTGTTGTCATGGTGACTGTCAACCATCAGGGCACTGGTGGGGGTGACATTTAGTATGGAGAGTACATTATGATGAAGTTAGAGGCTCTTTGGAGAGCAAATGAGCTGCCATCTTGTCTCAAGGGGGGACTCCCGACAGTAGGCATTCCATTCCTAAAGATAAGCATCCTCAAAGCAGGGTGAAGGCTCCGTGAGGACACGTATGCGTCACCCTGGGTCACTAAGGCACGGAGCCAGTCCACAGAACTCAGTACAGAAGACGACTACAAAGCCACTTCCTTCCAGTAACTTCTGCAGCTCTCACTGGTGGGGGCAGCTCTCCGCAGGCCCCCACCGGGACCAGCCATCCCTCCTGAAGGTGCCTGCCTGCTGATTTAGGATAAGTCCAATTAAATTTCAAAGTATAGCCTGGAGGCAACGGCAAGCCACGGCTAAAACCCAGGCCCGTGTTCTCCTGCAAACACAAAAGTGCCTTCAGCGCCGCAGTGAAGCCCTGGGAGGAAGGCCGCTGACTGAGGGACGGGCAGCCTGAGCTTCGGGCTGCTCCCGCGTCCCGCGAGGCTGTGGGAATCTGTTACCCTTTTCTTAAAAAGCCTCTGCTTCTTCATCTGACAAACTGGAATAATGATTCTCTACCTCAAGTGAATCTAACAGCGCCTGCGCAGCCCACTGGGTCAGAGAGGGTCTTCTGTTCAGGAACGGACCCAGGGACAGTCAGACGCTCTGCTAAGGGAATAGGACATTCTCCTCCTATTTGCAGTTCCTAGAAGGAAGAATTGTGCACGCCCTTTTCTGAGGGCCCCAGACCACAGCCTTGCAGTGAAGGGCACCTAGAGGCAGAGGCCCCAGCTGCTCTTTGCCGGGCTGCAGACGGAGAAGGGATGTAGTTCAGGCAGATAAGGACAAACAACTGCGCTCTCTGCCGACCTGTTTCTCCACCCAGGGCCTCCCGACAGTCACACGCTGACTTGAGATTCTCTCTGGGCTGCTGAGGCTCACAGGAGCCAAACACCCACCCACCCACCCCCAAAAAAGGGATAGAGGAGGGCCCTGGTGCATCGCCAGGGCAGAGCCCAAGTGAGCAAGGCTGGCACAGGTGGCAGCTCTGCGCCTGGAAGAGAAAATGACTTACAGGTTTTTACCTAAATCATCTTTTACTCCCTTTCTGGTACATCCTTCTTCCGCAGCTCTTTATTAAATCCAAACGGAAACACCGCCTCCCGTTCTCCCAGTGTTGAAAGGCCCCCTCTTCTCAGTGTCCTAACATTATGCCCACCCCACGACCCGCCCCGGCCTCTGCCCGGCGCCAGACAAGCGAGCACCACAGATGGTTTGGGGCTGCGCGGGGGGTCTCGGGGTCTGGGCCGCACGTAGGGTCTCGCCTGTAACGTTGGCTGGGCAGGATTCCAGCAGATGCCAGACCTGAAAAGTGGGTCCTTAGGAACCTCCAAACCCAACCTGCGCCTGGGGAGGCCTTTAGGACCGAGGGGAGCCGTCTCCTCCGGAGCCGGGCGGCAAATCCCTGTCCTCCCGTCCCCCGCGGCCGCCCTCCCCCAGCTCCGCGCCCCCGCGTTCCGACGCCCGCCCCGCCACCCGCCGGACGCCGTCGCCCGTGGCCCGGGCGCCCTGGGGCAAAGTTGGCGGCCGCCTTCGCGAGGAGCCGCTCGCTCCCCCGCCGCCGCCTCGCTGCCACCCCCCCTCGGAGCCCGTGGCCGCCGCCTCCGGCACGCGTGTCGCCGGGCTCCGCGAGCCGAGCTGCGCGTCCCGGGCGCCCCTCGCCAGCGCGCCCGCCGGGCCTGCCGCGCGCCTCCTTCCCGGGGCCGGAGGCCGGGCTCCGCCCCGTCGCCGCGCCCGAGAGCGGCCCCAGCCGGGCGCTCCGGTCTGCGCGGGGCAGCGGCGCGCGGGCTGCGAGCGCGGGGCGGGGGGGGCGCAGGGGCGGCGCCGCACCGCCCCGCTCCGGGCACTCGCGGGTGGCCGGCCCCGCGCGCCAGCGGGTCACCTTGTCGGGAGGTAAGTCCCGGCCGCCCCGGCAGCGCGGACGGGGTCCTGGCTGCGCCCGGAGCGCGCGGGCCGGGAGCGGCGAGCGCCCGCGGGGAGTGCGGGGAGGCGCGGGGGAGGAGCCGGGGCCGGGCCGGGGCTGCTGTGCGAAGTCGGCGGGAGCCGCGGGGACCGACACCCGGAGCGCGGCGCGGCGCGGGCTCTGCGGGTTCCGGGGACCCCCGGGGCGACCCAGGAGAGCGGCTGGGGCTGCTGAGCGGGGCAGCGTGGAGCTGGGGGCCGGGGGGCCGTCCGGGACCGGGAAGGAAAGCGGGCTCGATGCGCAGGGGGAGGGGAAAACGGGCGCGGTGCGAGCGCGCTGGTATGGGGACTCCCGGCCGGCGCGGAGGCGCGGACTCCCGGAGCCCCTGGCGTCCTCGAGCTGCCCGGTCCCTGGGCAGCCGCGACAGTCCGCAGCCCTGGGAGGCGCCAGCCCCGGCGCGGAGAGGGGAGCGGGCGGCCCGCTTGGGGGCCCAAGTTCCGGTCTCGGTTCCCTAGGTACGGTCTCTGCCTCTTCGTGCGCCCCCTCCATGCTGCGGAGAGAGAAACAGATCACAGGTGGAGTTGGGCACTTTTCTAGGGGAGGATCTTTGGTCGCCCTGTGTTCTCTGCAAGACCCCAGCAGAGCGGGCACCTGCACGCTCGCCGTGGGGAGGCTGCCAGTGGGGTCTCTCGGCTTTCGTGAAGGTCTGGAGGCCTTCATTTCCTTGGGGCCCCTTGCACACAGAGGCTTGGGTGCCTGGTACCCAGACTTCAGTTGTGTGCAGCCCTTCTGCGGCGTGAGAAGTGCTGGCGCCGCCAGGCTACTGGCCCAGCGTCCCTGTCTGCGCCTTTCCCGGCACGTCCCGGTGTCCGGTGCAGCAGACACTGGCCGAGGCCTTGGCTGATTTGGGGGCTAGCAGGTGGTCGGTTTCCTAATGAGAGTCAGGATCAGACAGGGGCGTGTGCGCGTGTCTGTGTGTCTGGTCAGAGCCCAAAGGGACAGGCGTGCTGCGCAGACCTGCAGCCTGTGGGCTGTGCGCCTGGTCACAGACCCCAGAGTGAGCCAACTTTTCGCGCTGGGGTGCAATGCCGGGCAGCCGGAGTCGTGCGGTGAGGCTGTCCAAGAGGGGTCTGGCTCCGGAAACCCTTACAGGTGAGAAGGAGCACAGAGGTGGGAGGGGGGCTCTGATGGCCATTCTGGCTGGAACAGGAGGTCGCGGGAGCCGAGTGGCAGAAGACTGCATGCTGTGTGCTGAGGTCTTTCTGGGGATCTGACCACAGGTGCGGGGGGGGGGGGGGGGGGGGGGGGGGGAGGGGGGGGGGGGGGCCGTGGGAGGCCTGGGGAGTCACGCACCCTGGGGCGGAGCTTCTGTTTGGGGGGGGCGGGAGATGGTGAGGAAAGCCCCTCCCCCTCTTCCCCCCCTTCCACTCCCCTGGCCACCGGCACGGAGCCAGTGCTGGTTAGCGGTGGCTCCGGAGCCCTCTCCCACCCTGCCCCCACCTACTGCATGAAAATGGAATCGTCATCTTCCAGGCCTCGTTAAATGAAAGGGGAAAACCTGTTCAAAGTTTTTTATGATACAACATTTTGATGACACACAAAGGTAGAGGGGCTGATACACTGAACTCGCAGATGCACTCACCAGCCCTTGCCCTGCCCTCAGAGTTCTGGAGGCCATGTTTGATGAGGGGTTTACAGCCCACTGAAGCGCCCTTTTCCCCCAGCTGATCCCCATGTATCTCCAGCAGGTGAATTTTCATTTCATTTCCACCTGCCCATCACCAGAAACCACTGTTGTCAATGATTCCATTTGGAGAGAGGTGCTGTTAGGAAAGAAATGAAGGCAGCATCCCCCACCCCATTTCCATTCTGGGGTAGAAAAAGAAACTGTGTTCCTAGAGGCATGAAGGGGGGATTGAAGGAGCAAAGAGGAAGTCAGATCCTAAGAAAAAAGACACTCGGAACAACTAGATTTGACTTATACCAGTGGATATGCAGGAGCTAAACAGGATTCCAGCTGAACCATGACAGGCAAAATAACTTTTTTTTTGGTAAAACTTTAAAAGTCAATTCATAAATCGCAAGCAATTAATTTCTTCCACATTTAGCATGGCATAAATTAAAAGTGCAACACTGACTTGACTCATCTTTCTTATTAACTCTAACTCAAATTTTCTAGGGAGTAATTACTGTTATTAGAATAAAAGACATTTCCTTATGTAAGTTTTCTATCTGAGACACTAGTTGGTGCTATGCTGAGTTTCACCAAGAGCCCTGAATATTTCATCCCTTGATTAGAAAACGTTTGGCGGCGACTCGGTCACATCTGATTCACCGTCCAGAGACCCCCAGCCTTGATTCCAAGCGTGGTCTCTGTTGCTGGGGAGGAGCAGAGTGGGGGAAGCAGGGACTGGCCGGGTGATCCCACACACGCCCACATGGTGCCCTCCCACTCCACACACACACCTCTGCACCTTCCTTTATGTAAAAGGTGTTCCTAAAAATTGTCAGTGACGTTCTCACAGGAGTCAAGTAAGACTTTTGAACACCTGCATAAGGTGCGCTGTTTAAAGGCATCCTTAGCTGACCTTTTGTACTGTGAGCATCCATCCTGTAAGAGAACAATTGTCTACGGCGTCCGCCCCCAACACAAAATCTGCCTTTCCAGGTCACCAGCAGGGCCCCGAGCCTCTCACCTCGTCCTGTGCGGAGGCCCTGCGCACAGCAGCCTCCTGGCCAGCACAGACTGGTGGCAGTGCTGTCACTGGAGTTTGAACAGGCTTCCTCTCTTTGAAGGAGTGGCTGAAGGCGCCCAGGAGACGGCTGTGAGCCTCGGCAGAGCCGTGGGGCTGATGAGCGTCGGGGGAAGGCCTCTGAGGCGTTTTGCAGAAACACTGATGTGAGGTGATGTGGGAGCCACAGCTTCCGCCTCACTGCATGGGAGACATCACACCAGCAGGTCAAAGGGCAACACAGCAAAGGTGTTCAAACACGAAATATTCAAAACATTAGAGAGAGGCTGACCAGGGTCCTGCCCACTCCCCAGAACCGGGATAGTGAAGACAGCCACGGGTGGTTTTAATGAATGTGGTTTTTCTCTGTGTGAGATCTAAGACATTTTGAATTGTTCCTGCGAGTCCTAAGTGGGTGCTTCAGGGTGGAGCTGCCGTGGCCCTTTCAGGCGCCCAGTTGCAGTTCTGGGGCCTTCACTGCAGTCCTGTTTTCCAGGAGGTTGCAGGGGGAGTCAGGAAGGCTCAGCCACTTTCCCGGGTCTGTGGCTGCCCTGCCCCAGTATTTTCTGGAGGGCCTGTGAGCAGACTTAGGTTTTAAACTCTGGGCTCTGCTGCTTGCTTGTTGAATGATATTAGGTTTCTTAACTTTTGTGACATTCTGCTGCTTTTCATCCATGTTCTTTCCAGGATTTTGCAAACAAAATGTTTATGGTTGTCACAGTTGTTTAAGTGGGAAAGTCTCTGGACTGAGAACACTTTACTCTCTTAATTGAAGGTCTCTCTGGGTGAAGTCTGCGCTCCTGTAGCTCTCTGAGAACACAGAACGAGCCCAGGCCCTTCCTTGCAACCGTGTCCTGCAGCTTCTTGTTGGCAGGAGTCAGAATAAGGACAGTGGGTGTCGTCCGTGTGGTGCGCACCCTCACGCGGGGATGCGCCAACATTCATCTTGGTGGGTTTGAGGCATTGTATTGGAAAGGCTTATGAGCAATAACTTATGGAATATATCTTCTACACAACTAAACTTAGACTCACATCATGTAAAAACTTATGTGATGCATGTTCTCTGGGCTAAAACATCGTAAAGCAGATTTACCAAAAAGCCACAAAGCATCATTTCATCATATGTGAGGATTTAAGTTGCAAACTCTGTTTAGATCAAAATTCCAAATCCTCTTAAGCCATTTTATGATAAATAACCTGTTAAATTACATAAAATAAAATACTACAGAACTAATGCAACAAATAAGCATTGGCACAAAGAATAACACAACCAGAAACAATATACCTTGTGCAGAAAATAATAAAAATTGTAATGCTCCTCCTGAAAGCATACTTCTTCTCAATGGGGGTACAGTGCTGCATATTTATGTCAATGAAAATAATTTATCTAGGAGTTCAATTAGCCTTGCTCCAGAGAGATGGGGGTTTTGCTCTCAGGGTTCAAATCAACACTCAGTGTGAAGCATTTTGAGTTTTCGGTTCCCAATGGATCCTTGTGTTGATCGCAGTCATTTTTAAGCTGAGGTCCTGATAGTGCCCGGATGTCACAGCTGTAATGTTTCGGGGCGGTGACTGAGGGAGGGAGCATGTGCGTATTTACTGACAGCCAGTGGCCGGGGCCCACTTAATTTAAGTTCATAGTTATAAAATGATTACTTCTCAGACATCTGACCTCAAGTGTAGCTGCTTTCAAACATGCTTCCCAGCTGCTCTTTCTTAATGTTTTTCTTCTTTGGGAAACGTAAGTGTCCAAAACAAAACCAAAATGCAAACAAACATGTCAGACAATTAAACGTTTGATTCCATTGGCTCAACTTTAAAGACACTTCTGAAAGAAAACTATCTTACCTCAAATATATCTGGGGCGTCACCCTACTTGGGAAAGCAAAGAAAAATGTTTCATGAACTTACCTTTCTGCTGTGTGTACAATATGCAGCTTTTAACTTACTTTTATGCTCTTGGTCCTCAGTGCTCGGTCACTCAGAGAGCACAGGCTGTCAGCTGCCAGGTGTTTGAAATAAGGTTTGTTTCTGAGGATCCTAACGCGATTAAGTCCTGGGGCAGGGCTGGGAAACCCAGCGTCTCTGCTGAGGGGTGGGCTCAGGCTCTAGCACTAGAGGGGGCCTTCCAGCCCCGGGCCCCGCAGCTTCGAGCTTCTCTGCTTCTGCAGAATGGGAGCTGGGCTTCTGCTCTTCACAGGCCACCCCAATCTCAGGGCTGATGCCCCTGGGCTCGTGCCATCAGCCCGCAAGGGAAC